CCCACAAACCCCAAGAAATTGTTCCGGGAGGTCTCTGGTGGTGTGAAGCATATACTGCATTTGTTCGACTTGCCAAACATGTTAGAGGAAACAGATACCTACTTTTATCCCTAAGCAAGAGACTGCTTAAAATGTTCAAGTAACTATATAACCATGATTGATTATCAGCTACTGTACTGGGACTATCTAGGTTTTCATAAACATTTTCATGTGAGATATTTGAATTATAAAAGAACTTTTAAAACCCACTGTGGTCCTATTTCCCCCATCTCTAAGATCTCCAGATTTGCTAGGGGGATTGAATGAAATCACAGATATAGTCACCTGTTTATATGGTATGATACAATACAAATATCACATATTATCAAAATAGCGATTATAGTTTCATGAAATGGCAGATCTAAATTCTATACTCATCAGTCTATGCTTGTCAAAATTCTATACTTACCTACACTTCTAAGGATATTCCTATTGCTAGCACTCACATTTTAGTAACAATGTTTAAAGTTTCATAATTTATTTCTGTAAGACTGTATCCTTCGTTTCTAAGCTCTCACACATTCCTGCTATATATAACTTTAGTAACCGTTTTCTTGATCCAACTGCTTCCTTCACTGTAGAAGCACAGGTAATGAGACCGTAAATGCCTTTACTCCAACTTCAGATTCCTCTATATCAGCAGATCACTAAATTAGCAAGCAAAAGTTTTATTTTATTTTATAATTAAAAGGCTCAAACCGATAATGCTGGATCTCTGAAAGTCTAAAGTGTGGCGCTGGATCTAAGAATGAGGTGGTCTAGGAAAGTAAACTGTGTTTTTGTTGGTTGAAAAGACACGTTTGCATATAATTGAGGGGTAACATAAATAATATTCAAACTATTTGTAAAAATAGTGTCACTGATGGCTCTAACCACAAATAGAATGGAGAGGGAGAGTGTGTCAAATCGAAGTGCAATAATTTTCATCTGTTTTTGAAAGTTCTGGTTTCTGTGAGATGGATTGCAAATCTCTAAAGAAATCGGTTAGACACAGAAGCACAGAACAGCAAGCAGATGACAAAAGATTGCCTCGTAAACTGAAATGTGGATGTGTATGTAGTGGAAGTGGTGTGCCGATGTGCACAGAATTTTCCAAGTTCCTTCAGCTGCTACCACTAGATGTTTGAGTTTCTAGGACTCTCCTTTTCCCAGGAGCCCCAGCCAGAGGGGAGCTCCACAGCTGTGTGCAGTATACAAGGACAGGGAGGAGGAGAGGGGAGAAGGCAAAGGGAGGCATGGATGGCCCAACTAGCAGGAGACAGGTCAAGGCTGCCTCCTAGCTGCCAAAACGACATTCCTTAGTCTCCTAAGTTCTTTGAACAAAGACTTTTTTTTTCTGATTGCCCCTAGAGATGTTAGTTGTTTTTTGTTTTTTTCATAATATAACAGTTTATTTTTAAACATTTTGTGCCTTTTTCATCTCAGTTGTAATCCCTGTGGGATTCCCATCACCAAATCACCCATGTGCCAACACCATAGTCTAGTGCACTCCCTCTGCCCCGTTTTTGACCCCCTTCCCCACTCCACCCTGTTCATTATTATTATCCACCCCCACGCCCCGGCCCTTTATACTCTTCCTATGAGAGAAACCATCTGGCATTTTTCTGTTTCTTTCTGGCTTATTTCTCTAAGCATGATCCCTTCCAGCTCCACCCATATTGCTGCAAAAGGCATGTGTTTATCTTTTTTGATTGCTGAGTAATATTCCATTGTGTATATGCACCACATCTTCTTCAGTCTTTTTTTCAAAGACTTTTTAATCATTACCTTCCTCTCTGCTCCTGGGGCTGCTGCTCTCTTCACTACGGATTGACCTGCTCCTTCCAAAAGCCAGTGGCTTCAAACAAGTCCCACAAAGATTCAGAGTCACCTGCTGGTTCTGGCATTGGAAGCAAGCACATCGGAGTCTGCAGCTCAGTGAGGCCGGCGGCCCTCCTGCCTTTGGGACTCAACGCAGACGCTGTCATTCATCCTGGTTGACAGTGCTTCTTCATGGCTGCCTTCACCAACCTCCTGGCTGAGGGGCTGCAGCAGGCCCTCATCCAACTTTTAGGTTGCGCAGCAGTTTCAAGAAGGGTGTCCCTGGCTGCTTTCCCCAGGGCTCGTCTTTGCTTTTAGCAAAAGGCTCACCACCCACCAGAAGTAGCTGTCCCCACTTCTTCACTCCCTCGGTGCAGATGTACAGCCCATCACATATGTGTCTGTTGTCTGTCCCTAGACATTCCCTTAGCATTTCAGAGATGAGGGGGGGTTGCCCACATGGGACCCCAGACCAGTGTTGTTTAAGCTTCCATTTCCAAAGGGACACAATTCTCATTCAGAAACTTAAAATGGCTTAGTGCTCTCCAGCTTGCTGAGACCAGCTGTCAACTGGCTTTCTATTGCTGGAATCAGAGCAGCAGGCCCAGCAAACCTTATTTTGGTTGCTGTGGGGGGTCATTTTTTCCCATCTCCATGACTTCGCTCTTCATGTAACCCCTACGCCAGAAGGTGGACACATATCAACCAACAACCTAGTCTGGGGCTGAAACTACTCCTCTGAATTTTCTGGACCTTGGATATTCTCCCCGCCCCCCCCCTCCTCCTCAGAGAGCAGTGTCTCTCTCCCCTCCCTGTGCTCTGCCTTGCAAACTGCAGGCACTAATTAAACCTTTGTAGAAAACAGATTTTCACCAGCTGTAGGAACTCTGGGTAAGAGCCAGACCTGGAGATAGAGACAGTCTGGGGAAGAAAGATAAGCTCCCACAGCCGTGAACCTGTGGGCAATCCAAGTCCCACATTCAAGTGATATTTTGAATTCCAGCCTTTTCTGGATGCCTGAGGAGAGGACAGCATGACTGCTCCAGCCCCCAGCCTCTACTGCACTGCCCAGGGCTGGCCTTTGATAGCGTGATAGCAGGCACTTGCTCCATATGCTGGTGGCGGGTCAGTCACCCCTGACAGGCACAAACACCACCCTCAAAATACCAGCCGTCCTGGCAACAGAACTGCAAATCCCACAGCTAGAAACATGCCTGGAGCCCTCCCAGACCTCCGTGGGAAGCAGCTACTTGGGGTGGCAGCACCCGGGGTATGAGGATGGTGCCGTCTGAAGCAGACAGGGCTCTGCAAGTGCACCCAGAGTCCCTCCGTGCTTCTCCATCGTGGGCAGGAATGAGGGACACTAACATGGGCTTCAGTCACACTGCGGGGGCTGTGATGGACTTGCCCCTCAACAGTCTTAGTTCCCCAGAGTGGCCACCACCCCATCATGCTAATTCTGGGGTGAAGACCACTGGTTTCCTTCATGGAAGTTCTGGAGTTGCCCCTGAGGTTAGGGATGTAGCTGACAGAGCCTGACCCACAAATTAAGCTCTCTGCCCCAATTACATATAAAAATGAGTTTATCTCTTGGGCCCTCCCTGGTGGCGCAGCGGGTTAGAGCACAGCACTAAGAAGCTTGAGCCACTTCCGCATGAGTTCGAGCCCAGCAGACCTCTCCTGACC